CATCTGGGGGCATAGGACAACAGAAAGGCCAGGAGAGGAAGGTTTGGGGAAGAGACCTGAAAACATATTTACACTGTTATAGTGGGTTTTGAGCAATTATGTCCCTTCTTACACTACCTTGACCCTCCACTGCACAATACCAAGAAGTGACAGAATGGGGACAAAAGGAGAAAGTGTGTTTTGACAAATGGCATCTATTACTCAAGAAAAACCAACAACAAACTAACACTGACAGAGCAGCAGCTGTGAGCTGGCTGAGCACAGTCTGTAGAAAATTATCAGAAAAGCTTGTCTGGTTTTACACATCATGGCTCTCTCTAGAAAGGGAAGAACTGGCTAAAGTCATATCACAATTATGATACTTCCTGATCACAAATAGGGCAAGATCGTAAGGGAAACCAACATCCCAAAGAATCTTTTGGTGTCAGAGCTGGCACAATCACCAAACAAGCCTCATTTACATCTAAACAATTTCCAGGAGCTAACACAAAGTTAAGACAAAGGATTTCCTACAATAAGAAAATACGTTTTGACAGGAAGACAGAACCTAAGTGGTAATTTCTGAAAAACTTCAATTCTTATACACACACAAAAAGCAACTTCTAAATTGAAAAGGAACAAGACACCCCTAGAGACATTTTGAGAGGCTGTTTCCTAAGCTGAGGGGTTCATGTCTAAAGGGTGGGAATAAGAAAAAAGCTTCTGCACAAATCATCCTTTCACCAGCTAGGAACAGTTTCAATACCTACACCAACGACAATACTGCTACACACCAACAAAAATTACAGTTGATTTTTCTCTTCTGGAACACTCTTTCCACATGTTTAACCTTTCATTTTGTTGGAATATGTCTGTTGTGTTTTGAGACTGATGCTTCTCTGGCATGAGGAACCAGACCAAGCAGAGCTGGTAGATTCAGAGCATATATTGGATGAACTGAATTCAAATTAATGCATTGACTTCTGACAAGCTACAAGGTACGAAAGAAGTTCTGGGATCCCCAGATATTAAGACTCTGCAAGTGATCCTACCTGACATACACTAACATCACTCCAGAAGAAAAAGCAGCTCCAGAGAAAGAGATGAGAAACTCAGTCAGAGTTGAAATGACTTAAAAGCCTTCGGAGTAACAGCTGTTATTTCACATACTTGTCATTTTCACATACTTGAGCTACTCAACTCTGAAAATCTTCTTACCACAGCCCTCTCCAAGGCAAGGGGCTGTCAAAGCTAGCTGAAATAAATGCAGGATTGCTGTAGGGAAGAGAGAACAAAACTACCACAAACACAATTCAAAGTCCCACAGAAAGATGACTGAGTTAGAGGTTTTTTGTTTTTTAATTGTATTTGCAAGGGCAGTGGTGAAATTCAGCTCTAGTTTGGGTCAGTAACCCCTTAATCCACAGGTACTGCAGTTAATAAATCAGTGTGTTTGTGATTCTAAAGCAAGGGATGCTCAGATTCAGAGAAGCACTTGCTTTCTACTACATCACACCTACCCCATGGAAGCTGCAATTGGAACAACTTGGTATTTCAAAGACTTGACCTGACAGATTTGTTGGGGTGCTAGCACAAGCTTGGACAAGACCCAACTCCAGAATCAATACACACAACAACTTTGGCTCCCAAAATTTCCCAGTCAATGTGGAGTGAAAGGAGCAGAGCAACTGAATATATTATTATAATGATAGATTATATTTTATATATTAATATACTAATAAAACAAAATATTAGTATAATTTAATATATAACATAAAATAAAGTTATGTTATATTAAATTAATATAATGATATGCATATTGTTATTGTTATTACTATTATTATTCTGCAACTGAACACTGCCAGGAGCAGCCCAAATCCTCCAGGCTCATGTGCCACATACCAGTTCTGGGTTGGTTTAGGCAGATAGGGTGGAATGTGTTCAAGAAGGTGCTGTGCTTCCTTTTGATCTTTCTCGGCAGCCTTCTGGATCTCCTGAAATTAATATGAGACTGTATCAGAAATCTGATCCTACTAACATCAAGCAAGTAAAATTAGGGCAATACTAAATTAATTTTCAGCTTTATTAAGAGGTGTCCTTTATTCTCATCCCATCATTGTACCTCCTCACCCCATAACTTCCCCAGGGAAACTGGTGAAGATACAAAGGAAGGAGCATCCTTCCCTGTCCTTGCCCTCAGAATGGCAGAGAAATTTGAGCAGGCAAAAGGAACTTCAGCAATGCACCCTCAGCAAGGTCTGGCCAGGGGAATGGTGGTAGTGCAGGTGAGATACTATGGTATGGAGAACTCACCTCCATTCCCCAAACAACATTTCCACAAAAGACTTAACAAAGGCAGTGCAAATACACGGTGGAATAACAGACAAATATTATAATTGAGCACTTTGTGTAGCTATTGCAAAGACGTGTAAGCAGAATTGCTCTTTAGATCACCATATCTATTATGATAAAGACATGTTTCCAAGGCCAGTGACAAAGACATGCTTTTAATGCTTCCTTAAGATGAAGGAAGGTAGACTTAGATTAGATATTAAGAACAAATCCTTCCCTGCAAGGGTGGGGAGGCCCTGGCACAGATTGCCCAGAGAAGCGTCCAAGACCAGATTGGATGGGGGCTTGGAGCAGCCTGGGACAGTGGAAGGTGTGCCCATGGCAGGGGTGGCACTGGAAGAGCTTTAAGGTCCCTTCCAACTCAAACTATTCTACAACTCTGTGATTCTTTGTATAAGCCTCTAAAAATACAATTTCTAATGTTCATTGTTCTGGAGGACTGCTTAAAAGACCATCAGCAAGCCTGTTCCAAGCCCCAGTCTCTCTTGGAGATGCAGCACATGCATCCAAACATCACTGAGGATCTAGGGAAAAAACCGTAACACACATATCAAAAATTCCTTTGAAGCTTTCAGTGTTTTATAACCAGGAAAAGAAAAAAGATTACTTTTAGCAAATCTTTCAGTTTTTCTTGCTGTTTAACTTCAGCCTCCATTGTATTCAGGAGATCATGTACAAGGACCACCTCATGCTGTATTTTACAGAGCACAGACTTGCAGGATTCATGTTCACCTGTAAAGGAGAGAACATTAAGCTACAAACTCTCCAAGAAAAAAGCAAAATCTGATACTCCTCCCTTTCACAAGCACTAATTGTCTAACTCCCTGCTCCCCAGTCACCCTATCCATCCAGGAGAAGCAGCAAGCCAAACTGTCAGCCTTGTACTCTGCAGAGCCAACAGAGTTCATGGAATCATTTAGTTTGGAAAAGCCCTCTAAGACCAGGTCCAACTATTTCCTCAGAGCACTGCCAAGGCCACCACAAGCCTGTGTCCCAAGCGTCAAAAAACCACACGGCTTTTAAATCCTTCCAGAGGTTGGGATTCCTCCACTGCCCTGGGCAGTTCCAAGGCCTGGCCACCCTTTCCATGGGGAAATTCCTGCTGCTGTCCCCCCTGTCCCTGCCCTGGCCCAGGCTGAGGCCGTTCCCTCTCCTCCTGTCCCTGTTCCCTGGCAGCACAGCCCGACCCCCCCGGCTGTCCCCTCCTGCCAGGGACTTGTGCAGAGCCACAAGGGCCCCCTGAGCCTCCTTTGCTCCAGGCTGAGCCCCTTTCCCAGCTCCCTCAGCCGCTCCTGGGGCTCCAGCCCCTTCCCCAGCTCCGTTCCCTGCCCTGGACACGCTCCAGCCCCTCGGTGTCTTTCTTGGAGTGGAGTGCAAACTAAACCCCACTATTGCTCTTTTTTACCTATGTCTCTCAATAGGATACACTTCTTAATATCTGAAATCTTCTCATTGATGTGGGAGCATAAGTCTTCCAGGCCTGAGGATCCCATATCCTTCATCATCACACTGAGGGGGAACAAAAGTGAAAGCAGGAAATTGAAAAGGACCCAAGTTGCAAACATTGCCTACAAAAGCAGAATTTTTAGAAGGATTGTGATCTGTTGAAGAAGTGAAGGGAACATAAATTAAACAGTAAATGGAGTTAATTATCTTTTATCTTACTAAATTGAAGACAGGAAAGGAAGCATAAAGTGACTGGCACTAGACAAGCCACTAAGTTACCCAGAATTCTGGAGGTATGCAGGGAATCCAGTGCGATATCAGTGCAGCAATTCCTCATGAGACTGGGAGCATCCTTATAATATGTGATATAAATATATCAAGGATAAAATATAAAAATATATAAAGGATAAAAAGGAGTTGGAATTAAGCCAAGAAATACCTGGCTTATATAAGGCAGCTTTAGAAGGCTGTCTCAGGAAGAGATCAGATGATTAATGTTTAGAGGTGTGCTTTTTTAAAAACATAATTATGCAAAAAAAAAAAGTGTTAGCAGAATTATTAGTGAAGTCTGGAAGCATTAAAAAGAGCATTATAAATTGATTACTATATTATACTACATACTATTTACTATAATAATAGAGTTATTGACCCTATTATAGACAGGAATTGGTTCAAAGAAAAAGTTATACAACGTGACAAACGCCCGCATTTAACACGGGGGCCCGGCACTGAGCGCTCACACAGCTCCCTCCGGCGGCTCACACCTGGAAATTTTCAAAAAGCCTTTATTTCACTTTTGGCTTAAAAATACTATCAGCTGCCGCCCTTATGAAATCCGTTTTTAGATACCTGCCGCCTTCCCACCCTCCATACCTGCGCGGAACCAGGACACTCCGAGGCGGATCGGGATACCCTGAGGGGACGGAGGCTCCCCGCTGCGGCCGGCGCCAAGCGCCCGTTCCTCCTCAGGTTTTACCTGGCGCAGCGTCGGTGCTTCCCGGGCTTCGTCCCGGTCCCACTCTCCCAGCCGCGGGGAGGAGGAGGAAGAACCTCAGCCGGCGGAGGAGGGAGGACGCGGTTCCGGACGCGGTCCCAGCGCCGGTCCCAGCCCCGGTTTGAATCCGCCGCGCTCGGGCGGGCGTTGGGGAGGGCGGGCAGGGCGCGTGCGCGCTGAGGGGAGCGCGAGGGACGGGCGGAAAGGGCGGAGCGGGGGCAGCGCTGGGGTAAAAGCGGGCCGGGAAGGGAGGAAGCGGCGCTGAGGGGAGAGAGGGGCGGAATGCGCGGCGCTAAAGGAGCCTGTAGGCCAGGTGAGGGTCGGTCTTTTCTCCCAGGTAGTATCCAGTGATAGGATAAGGGGATATGGTCTCAAGCTGCGCCAGGGGAGGCTCAGGTTGGACTTCAGGAGGAAGTTCCTCGTGGAAAGAAACGGCGTTGTGGCTGCCCATGGAGGGTTCGAGTCCTCACTCCTGGACGTGTCCGAGGAACGCCTGGATATAGCATTCAGTGCTGTGGTCTGGGTGACAAAAGGCTATCAGTGATAGGTTGGGCACGATCTCGGAGGTGTGAGAAATGAACTTGTAAAAATTCGTAGAAATCTAAATAAATGTATATAACAATAATGATATAAAATATAAAGTACAGTGTGGCCCACAAGCCCTTCCCAGATCTAGTCGCGAATTCCCACTCAAAGGATAACGATCCTAGCCAGCGCCCATCAACGAAAAAGAATAGACAGGACAAGGATCATCAGGCTGACAGGGACAGGCTCGGCGCCCATCACCGGACCTGAACACCCCGCCTTGCAGGCCACCGTTAGGGGAAGCCATCAGATAGACAAAAAGAAAAAGTGCAGCCGAGATATCCATCAGCTCCAACCCGGATCCAACCATCCCATCCAGATGGCCTGAACCACAATGAAATCAAGAAACACCCAGAACTTCTTTACATATGAGGAGACTCTGTCCGGACGTCCATTTGACTCTATTCTCCAACGCCAGGAAATCAATTCATACAACAATCAAGGACCGTTGGTGAATGGTGCCTGCCTGGAATTTGGCCTCAAGGCTAAAAATCCCTATAAAAACCCCGGACAGTCTACCCTCCTTCGTGGATTTGGGAACACCTATACCTTTGGGTATAGACCCCTGTCCACCCAGCACTGCGCTGTTTGTTTTATTGTGGTTTTTCCTCATTGTTTATTTGTTTATAGAAATTGTTTTATAATAAATTGTTTTTTATTTAACCCAAATCTGCCTTTGCATTTATAACAGAGGTATTTTCCAACCTTTGTAATTCTGTGAGTCTGGAGGGACTGGGAGGAAGGGCGTAAGGCGGGAGGTCTGAGGGCAGCGGGAGCGCGGAGGGCGTTGTCGATTCTAGCAGCTCTGGGAACACAAACACAGAGTTCACCTTAGAAAAGAGACGTGGTTTATTAAGCGCAGCGTGCAAGGAATACGTTCCCACTAATCAACTTCCCAAAGGGTAAAAAGTTAAATCTGTTGTACAGTAAAATTCACGCGAACACGCCCGCTTACTGCATATTCTCCGCCCACCTAATGCATATTTAGTGACGTAATCAACGCACGACTTGAAAGAGTCTTTCCTTCACTAGGCAAACTCCTCTTATACAAGTAATGTCACCTGAGTTAAGTTTACGAAAGGCGAGGAAAAAATTAAAAGACACAAAAGACAGTGGGAGTGGGACGAGAGGCAAGACGAGCACGCTGATCAGAACGGGAAGGGAAGGGCGGAAGGTGCGGTACTGCTGAGGGAAACAGGGCAGAAAGGGCAGGAGCAGGGAAGGGAGCCGGGATGACTGAGGAGGGCGGGAAGGAAGGGCGGAATCGGTTGTGGAGCCAGGCGAGACGGGAGGCGGGGCGGCTGAGGGGAGCGGGAAGGAAGGAGGGGTTGCTGAGGGGAACGGGAAGGAAGGAGGGACGGCTGAGGGGAGCGGGAAGGAAGGTGGGATTGCTGAGGGGAAGGGGAAGGAAGGAGGGACGGCTGAGGGGAGCGGGAAGGAAGGAGGGATTGCTGAGGGGAACGGGAAGGTGGGATTGCTGAGGGGAAGGGGTAAGAAGGCGGGGCGGCTGAAGGGAACGGGAAGGAAGGTGGGATTGCTGAGGGGAAGGGGTAAGAAGGCGGGGCGGCTGAGGGAAACGGGAAGGAAGGGCGGAAGGCGGGATCGCTGAGGGAAGCGGGCGGGAAGGGAAAGCAGGATCCCGGAGGGAGGCGGTAAGGGAGGCCGGGTCGCTGAAGGGAGGCGGGATCCCTGTGGGGAGCGAGAAGGAAGGGCGGGAGGCGGAATTGCTGAGGGGAGCCGGGTGAGAAGGGAACCCGGATCGCTGAACGCAGCAGGAAGGGAACGCAGGATGGCTGAGGGGAGCCGGGCGGGATCTCTCTGAGGCAGCGCCGATAGGCGCCCGCTCCGGTTCTGCCCCTGAGGGCTTTACTCCTTCCAGGGAGTTGTGACAGCATCGATCAACAACTGCCACACCATTTTTCACTTGATTGTATAAATTCAGTTTATTTCAGCTTTTAACAGAAGACAAAGCCCTTAGTAAAAATGCAGTTTTCAACATACACGTGCTCATGCTGGTGTGTCTCCATCGTTACCCATCACTTTCTTTTTTCTCTTGGGGTAGGGATGGAGATAATTAAACAGTTTACACTGATCCCAAGCTAATTTTTTTTCTAATTAGCTACAAATAGAAAGATTTATTTTGTTAAGGCTGCTTATGTTTCCAAGGAAGGAATCAGCAGAGTCTCTGTTGCTTTTCCACAATTCCCTGATACATAAAAGCTCACAGTTTCCTCCATTCTCTATCCCCAAAATCCTGAAGAGCTTATAAACAGATTAACATACAAACAAGATAAAGAAGGACTGTATTAAAGCAGGGATGCAATCCAAGGAGTAAGTGGCTGTGTCCAGCAGAATTAAGGAGAACAGAAAATGTGCAAAAGCAGCGCTACAGCAGGTTATTGAAATTGCTTTGTATAAGAATGCATCTTTTTAACATTTCAGTAGAGAAGTGTGGTCAGGGCAGAAATGCAGCACTTATTCCCCCAGGCAAACCACAGAAAAAGGAGGAAGAAAATGTTCAAAAGCCCTGCTTCATAAGGATTTTTTAGTGCCAGTAATTAAAAGATTAAAAACAAACCAAAGAGGGAGAGAGAGTTCTGAGCCCAAAAGCTCAAAACCTGGGGTTTTTATTGTTTGCTGGCTGCTCCAAACAACCACACAAATGCTCGTTCTAGACTTTAAACATGGGGTTGTGTCTTGCACTAACAATCTCTGCAGTAAACAGAATTACAGCATGACACAAGAAAGGGGAAAAAAACCCGACGCTGCACAATTAGTTACAGAAAAAACATTATAGATCCCCATGCCTATGAAGAGTATATAAACCTGGCATTCAGAAGTTTCTTTTGTTGTTTAAACAACATCATGAGAATAACCTGGGGTTTGTACAGACAAAACCTGTGGTGCAGACAGATCCTGTGGTCTCCACTAGTTTATTAATTAAAGTATAAAGTTTCTGCTGCATGTTTTTGGGGCAGAAGAAAGAAGGGCAGAAGAAAGTTTCTTTCTGGACCCTACTACACCACCTGGTGCTACCTGCAGTCACAGGTCCAAACTTAGCATAATGTTTCAGAAAGCTGTGGTGTGATCACAAGTCAGTTTCATCATCAGGAAGCAACATTCTTCTTTTCAGTTTATTAAGCAAACACTCCTGAGTAAAGAGGCTGATATCCACTTTCTTCTTTCTTGCAAGTAAGCACACAGACGCTCAGCATGCCGAAGAACTGGAAAAGAGGGAGTGCACAAGAGACTTAGTCCTGCTGTATTTCTGTTTCAGTAGTCAGACTAAACACCTACATAGCAGATGATTTCATCATATTAAAAAAAAATATTTAAAAATACATCTACAGAAAGTGTTAATTTTGCATACCAATTCCCAGTAACAGTTCCAGCTTGAGTGTTTCTTCTCCGGTTTGTCCCATTAACACATTCACATTAATTACTAGTTATCTTGCCATGGGGAAAATTTCAGTGAAAGGCTAGGATTATTCTGGGATAAAATGAGTTCTCCAAAATACTTAAGTATGCCTTTGGACAAGGAGTGATAGGAATGACTTCCCAGTGCCAGAGGGCAGGCCCAGCTGGGATATTGGGAAGGAATTGCTGGCTGGGAGGGTGGGCAGGCCCTGGCACAGGGTGCCCAGAGCAGCTGGGGCTGCCCCTGGATCCCTGCAGTGTCCAAGGCCAGGCTGGACAGGGCTTGGAAGAACCTGGGGTAGTTGAAGGTGTTCCTGCCCATGGCAGGGGGTTGGGACTGGCTGAGCTTTAAGGTCTCTTCCCATCCAGACCATCCTGGGATTTTCTGACTCAATGATAAATGGGTTCCACTCTGAATTTCCATCCCAAATCCCCTACTATCTTTTGAATCCCTCCCATCATTGTTAGGCAGATGAAACAGAGACAGCTGGAAAAACAAGTGAGGAACTTGTGACTGAGTCTGTTTCAGAGGCAGAAGAAATCTGAGGCTATTAGGACACTGAAGATGAGAAAGATCCGAGATCTAAGGGCAGACAGTACTATTTTCCGTGGGGGAAGAGACAGGAATATTTACCTTTACAATGGCAAACCCCAGGATTACAAGCATGGCATAGCTGATAACGCTCTGCAGGACAGACTCCAGCTCCTGTGTACAGCCCTGCCATGAAAGAGAGAGGTAAAAACACATTAAAAGGTGTTCATCCAGATGGAGGTTTTTATTATTTTCCCAACTCTGCCAGGGAATCAGGGCCTGGTAGGTCCTGTTTAACCAGTACTGCAGATCTGAGGAACTCCATTCTTGTCTTCCAGACCTGATGGCTTATTTCCTTCTGCACAAGGAGAGGCACTGACAAACTGCAATTTACTGACATTTGCTGCATCTCAGTTTCCTCTAGCTCAGGTCACTTAAACAAGTGCCCAAAACTCAGAGCCAGAAGGCCATCAATGGTATCTATAAAAGTCAGTTTAGGGCTTATGCCCCAGACAGGAGAGCCTGGGTTAATAGAATCACAATGTTTGGGTTGGAAGGGACTTGAAAGATCATCCAGTGCCACCCCCTGCCATGGCAGGGACACCTTCCAGTGTGCCAGGCTGCTCCAAGCCCTGTCCAGCCTGGCCTTGGACACTGCAGGGATCCAGGGGCAGCCCCAGCTGCTCTGGGCACCCTGTGCCAGGGCCTGCCCACCCTCCCAGCCAGCAATTCCTTCCCAATATCCCAGCTGGGCCTGCCCTCTGGCACTGGGAAGCCATTGCCTGTGTGCTGTCCCTGCAGGCCTTGTCCCCAGTCCCTGGGCAGCTCTCCTGGAGCCCCTTTAGGCCCTGCCAGGGGCTCTCAGCTCTCCCTGGAGCCTTCTCTTGTGCAGGGGAGCAGCCCCAGCTCTCCCAGGCTGGCTCCAGAGCAGAGGGGCTCCAGCCCTCGGAGCATCATAATCCTCCAGATTCAGCATGATCAATCCCAGATGAGTCTGTTCCCCTGCCCCAGATCTGTTTAAACAACTACAGCTATGGGCACATCCCTAAACTCTGCCTGGCATGCTTCCCTGCACAGTTCCACCTGGCTGAAAATGAACGTGGCCCAGCTGTGAAACCGAGCCCCTCATGCTCACCCGTGTGTTGAGCTCCTGCGGCTGATCCAGATGCCCTGTGCAGTTCTTAGCCTCTTGCTGGCAGCAGCTCTGGGGAACACTGTTGTTCCCAGTGGAATTAAACCATTGCGTGGTCGTCCAGTCGCTGTAGTTCTTAACCCCGCAGCAGTGAAGCTACCCAACACGGGACAGTTACACAGCAGTTAATATTATGTAAGATTATACGTATTTATTACTAGTTACATTATATACATATAAGTAGATATGTTCCTATCTGAATTCCCATGTTGAGTTAAACCTCTCTTAGGCATAGTGAGCCAAAGCTGCCACTAGTTTGCAGCAGATTTACAAGCAGTGGTGGCTTCAGGAAAAAAATCACAGACATAATAAATCAGTCTCCCTCACACATTATTGCATCCTTCTTAGTTTATTCTTTGTGAAAGCTCCAAAAGGAAGGTGACAAGTGTCAGGGTAGAGTCTTCCATCATCTCGCTATTTTATGGAGCAGTGTTCTCAGCAGCAGTTATTCATATGTACTTATTTGCTCTGATGCAAATGTCACTCATATCAACCCCGTCCCTCACTACATGAACTTCACACCTGGAGCCTGAACACACCAGCTCTGCAAAGTGAGAAGCACCTTCAGCTGCCCTGGAGAATTGGATGCTAAACACAGAGCCAGGTTCCAGGATACTCATCCTCTCCCCTCCTTTCCCAGCCTAAATTCCTTGTTTAGGACCCAACTGTTCTTTTCCAAACAATGCTTAAGTATTTTCTTACATGTTCTTGCAAGTAATCCACAACTGTAGACTCTGGGTTTTTACCATCATACTTCTCAAAGACTGAGCTCATTGTACCTTGCACATCAGTTTTTACCTGTTTAGAGAGAGAAAAACAATGCAGACGGTTTTAATGTGAGAGTTGAGAATTTTATCACGTGGAAATTGCAAAAGATGCATCCCAAAAGTATCCCAAAAAACTGAGGGGGGAAAATTACGAATACGAAAAATCAGGCAATGTTTTAAACAAAATTCAGGTGTCACTTAGCCAGAATCATGTTCCTGGGTAGAAGCTTGCCATCATTGATGGAAAAGCCCTCTGGGAACATCAGCAACTGTTTAATCCTACTCAGAGACTGTTGTGATATCTGCCACATATTTTATATATTCACAGTGTTCCCAACAAAGACATCCCCATTCCCATTTGCTCTGCAGGTTGCAAGACAGGGATGAAGTAAAAAAACCCAGATAAATTGGAATGATAAAACAATGCGAGATCTATTCTTTACTTTTATATTGGGACAGAGATGCTAATTCTTTGTTTACCTTTTCCCTGTACACAAATCCCAGGACAAAAGCGGACACTTCTGCAATGAAGATAATCAGGATAATGGCCAAGAACTGAAAATAAAAAAAGAGAGACAGTAAGAGAGAATCCCACAGCACTTGAATTCAACTGCACAATACACTTCACATTAATTTACAGCAGCAATCACTATCTCTTAATGCCTCTCCAATCGAAATAGTTCCCAGAAAATAATTTAGAATAGAAGAAGCTGTGGCTGCCTCAGTCCTGGAATTGTTCAAGGCCAGTTGGCCAGGGTTTGGAGCAACCTGATTGTATTGGTTGGTCTAGTGGAAGCTGTCCCTGCATATGGAAGAGAGGCTGGAAATGGATGAGCTTTAAGGTCCTTTCCAACCCAAACCTTTTGGGAATTCCTGTGTGTGGCTGATCGTGAACTCTGCCATGACATGACCTGTGTGAAGAGCCCATGGAGCACTTCACAGGATGGATGTCAAAGGGGAGAGCACATGGATAAACCAGCAGCTGAGTTAGGTACACTGTGCACTGCTTGTGGGCTCACATTGCCTTCAGGGCATGACTTGGGGCATGAA